AAATTAATCTAGTGAAGGTGTATGGAGTTTAAAAGCACGGTGGAGCACTTCCTGTGTTACCACATGACATCACAACAGGAACAGAGTTTTCAGTTTGAGAGAAGAACTCAGCTTAAATATGCAAGTTTAAAAGCATTAGCTGATGTAGTTTATTCACTATTTTCCCTCTTTTCTGATTGGCTCAACATTTGTACGTCATCGTTTAGCAGACACCCATTCGTTCTGCCTCTTTAACTCCAACTTTATCACCCTTGAGACAGGTCACCACTTCTGCACACACGGGCACGCCACTTCTATCCATTGACATTCACTATGCTCCTCTGTATTACGCCTTTCAAATCTGTAATGATGTTATCAACTGATGTCTTTCTGAGCCTGTTTTCCTCTGTATAAATGATGCTATTAAACTGCCTGCTCCCATAGGCTGATGATGGAGTGTAGACTGTAGTCCTATCTCTTATGTCTAATATGACAGAGGTTGTTTTCACTCTTGTGCTGTTTCTGGTTTGATTGATGGCGTCTCTCTCTTCACCCATACAGAGGGGAGGCAGTGGCCAATAGTGCGAGGTATGTCCAATGTGCTCATTCATCCTGCTGTATGCTGCTATGGCTGTGAATGCCTGAGTGCGTCCATAAAAATAGCTTTTACGTGGGGTAGAAACTGGTCACTGGGAATGTCATGTTTAAAGGTCCGATATTACACAACACTGGGTCTTTTGAGCTTTAAGTCATGTTATAATGTTGTTACCTGATCAAAACAATCCCTGTATCATTCATTCATTCGTTTTTCATTATAAACTGTTTTTTTTTTTTCATTATGTGTCTCCAAAACCAAAATGAAAAAATGGATAATGATTTGTTTTTCATTTTTCGATTTTGTGTTTAAATGAATAATGGAAAAAAAACGATAAACATACCTGGAGTTGTGTTTTGTTTCATTCTCACATTTTTGAGTAATTCTTTATAATGAGTCTGTCTGCATCTCCAAAGCTCAAAATGCTCTGTTCCACCTTATGATGCCATGAAGTGGTAGCTTTCAAGTTAACAGCTATATTTTACCTTTTGTTCAGTATTTGGCAAATCCAGGCCTGAAATTACTCAGATGATTCCAGTGAAGGTGTATGGAGTTTAAAAACACAGTGGAGCATCCCTGTATTACCACATGACATCACAACAGTGTGTGGAATAGAGTGTTTTCTGTTTGAGTGAAGAACTCTGCCTAAATATGCAGGATTTGTTTTTGATGAGGAAACAATATTTTATCATAGCTCAGGAAACAGTGCAGTATGGGCCCTTTAACATGCTATTTGCCTAGACTTTGTAAATTTACATTTGAGGAGAACTTTGAGGAGGTCTACAATATTATAAACAGACAATAATCTGTTTACAATATTGCTAATAATTAATTCATAATGATAAGGGCAGTCTTGTTTATGCTCTTACTTGCCTCCTCAAAACAGTGAGATTTTAAATTGCAGAGGTCGTTCATTTTCATCTTTTGGCTTTCTGTTTTCAGCATTGGCAAAGGTCATTTTTATTTTCTGTTTTCTACATTATGTCCATACACGCTGAACAAGATCTTGCATCATGCTTGGCTTTCAAACTGCGCTGGTTCATAAAACTTTGAGTCATCATAACTGAGCCTGATTAAATTTCCAATGCTTTACTTTCCATTCTCTTTCAGTTCACACAAGGCCGAAAATGCTGCATCCAACCTTCCAGAGAGTCAGGAGTTTTTGGCCGTTGACGACAAGAAAACGCCACGATTCACAGACGTAAGCACCATCCGAAATTTAAATTCAACTTTGTCCTGATATAAAATATTCATTATTATTTTTGTAATCTTTTTTGCTACAGTTTGAAGGAAAGACCTCATTTGGGATGTCAGTGTTCAACTTGGGAAATGCCATTATGGGGAGTGGGATCCTGGGACTTGCCTATGCCATGGCCAACGCTGGAGTCGTCATGTTTTTGTAAGTTATTCGTTCATCTTTCTAAAGAATACAACAACATAAATCAGTATCAAAGGCTGTATGTTAAATTTCTCTCCTTTTGGGTAATTATCTTTGTACAGTCACATTATTATTATTATTAGGGATGTAACAGTAACCGAAATATCGTGATATCGTATTGTCAAAGTTCTCACAATAATATCGTGGACCATCACAATATATCGAATTACAATTCTTTGCTTAAATTAAGTTATGGTGCAGCAATAGCTAAAAAAAAAGACAGAGGGAACTACATAGACCATGATCCTTTGCTCTATTTCAGTGTAGACTACAAGAGGAAATAACAGTTCTAAGCACTTTTAAGTCTTAGTTCTTTGGATTAAGTCATGTCAAGGCATTTTAAGAGGAAAAAGCAGCATATTCACAGTTTTGTTAGCCTCCACAAAAATCGCAATAAATATCGTACCGTGAGATGTATATCGTGAAAATATTGTACTGAGAGATTTAGATATTGTTACGTCTCTAATCATGAGCCTCCCCACCATATCGTGAGCTTTCCCACGATATCACAATAAATACCGTACTGTGAGGTTCATACCGTGACGATATCGTATCGTGAGACTTGGATATCGTTACACCCCTAATTATTATCTGTTGCAGTGAGGGAATTAACTATTTTGTCATTTATTGTCCTTCGGTAATGGCTCTCCTTCACAGATGGCCATCACATAATTGTATTGTAATGTATTCCTTGAATGCAGTTGCTATTTTTAACTCTGACAGTGATAAGAGGAGTCCCATTTGTTTGATAATGGCCTGTAGTGATGGTTTTGAATTGAATGTGAAAAATAATAGTTATTTTATTCATGAATGCAGAAAATACCGGATATTTTCACACATTTTCTGTGCAAAACATGCGGTTACAGTCTTTATGCATTGATGAGCCATAACATTTCTAAAGCTGACTGCTGTAGTTATAGATGAAAACCAATGTAGATGTGTTTTCCAAAATTGAAAAAGGGTTATAAATATGGGAGGAAAGTTAAAGCTGCACTGTGTGATTTTTCTGGTGGAGGGTTTGTCACCTGCTTGTTTCCATGGAGATGTTATTGGTTTGCCTGGAATGTCCCATGGTATGACATTAAACACATCTATGTAGCAGCTGTTCATTGTGGATGTTTCTACTGCTCAAAAATACAATAATTCTCTCTGTGAATAAGTTTGCCTCTTCACAGATCTGATGTAACCTATAATGTACTCCTATAATGTACTATAGCTGTTAGAGCCCTGCCTCCTGCAGAACCCGTGAGACCCGACACAAAACAGTACAGCACGCTACACATTTTACCGCAGTCTCGCAAATTAATGTGTACGCCGCGCAAACCGTCCCCCGCCTCGTACGTCGTGCAGGCTGCGCCACTAAATCAGAACTAAACCAGGTCTAAAACAGGACTAAAACCAGGACTAAAACAAGATTTAGCCAAGACTTAACCATGCTGTCAGACCGTCCACCGCGCCTCCTCCCATACGCAACCACCCCCCCAACTCCCTCCGGTCTGTAATATATTTTTGATATAAACCGGTCCGTGGCGCAAAAAAGGTTGGGGACCACTGTTTTAGACAATTCCTTTCCGCTTCTCCGTGTTTGATAGAGCTTATAAGTGAATGTCCTCATCTTGTGGGACTTGCAGGCAGAAGCAGGACAAAATATCACCGATGCGGGCAGGAGCAGGACTGAAAATTACAATTCTTTGCGGGTGCGGGTGGGAGCGGGACTGTAAATTTTGACCCGCATAGACGTCTAATAATTGTCTCCCTTAATATAAATAAATTTAATCTCTATCATGGAACATTCTATACAATGCAATAACATCTCCATGAAGACAAGCAGGTGATGGACTGTCCACCAGTAAAGTTACACAGTGCAGTTTATTTCACTGTCTCTGTAAAGAAATTGGTCTTCTGCATTTGACCCACCCTTCAATGCTGCTGGGGTAACCTGTCAGGAGCTGTAGGCATTGCAGGCCAGGACTTCCTTAGCTGGAGAATTGTACCTATTGTGCAGGTTTTGGGTTGGAAAGGTCCTGGAGTTGAACCTAGAACCTTCTAGCTGTGAGGCAAGATTAATAGACACTGTGCCACCCAGACTGCAGTGGTCGTCATTTTCACTATCAGAGGTGCCTTAGATTTCGTTTTAGTCCTGGTCTAGACCTGGTTTTGTTCTGATGTAGTACAATCTCTGTGGTAAACAGTATTGGAAGTCCTCTTATGCAACAGGCCTATATATTGTACCTAAAATTACTCTTCTGTTAATTGAAATCTACACGCTGTATTGTGTTGTTTGTGCAGTTTTGCCCTGTCTAACCCAGAAGTCTGGTACAAACATAATTTCCATATTCAAGTTTGATTAATGCTTCTATTACTGTGCAAGGTTCCTGTTCAGGTGTTGAATAAATGAACCTAAACTGAACCAAATGACCTACAATGACGTCAGCTGTCCTCGTTCACACTTACAAAATATTGATGTTATCACGTATTATGTAGTATGACCTTTCATCTGCAGACATGAGAGACCTAGTTTTGTACTGACCTCTGTAGGGGGTAGGATTCTGTAGCTTTGGTCTTGCCCCTGGCCTAATATGACTTTTTTTGTTCCAACATTTTAGATCTTTCCAGGAAATGTTACAGAGTGTACAATAAAAAGAGGATTTAGGGCAAATGAAAGTATGTGCGCATTTCAATAAAGAATATAGCTGGAGGTCTGGGGCCTTAAAGGTGTCTTCTCTGGTGGTACAAGTGAAATGTCTGCATATTTCTGTGTCTGTCTGTGTTATGAAACTGGATTATGGGGTTAGTGAGGGAAGAGGTGAGCAGGTTCATGGTCTATCTGCAGAACAGGGGTCAGTCGAAAGGCAAAAAGGAAAAAAATTGATTTTGCATTAGGTTTTATATAATAAACTAATTTTAAATGTACATTGCCAGTCAATAATTTGATCTCATTCAATGATTTCTCTATATGTTTACTACTTTTCACATTTTATATACACACAAAGGACATCAAATATATGAAGTAAGATATATGGAGGAAAAATAACTACGGGAACTATAACTCTAGATATATTTTATAAATATCACAAAATCCTCAAATTAGCACCCATTTGCTTTGTCAAAATGTATTTAGTAGACTTATTTAATTTTTTATTTTTCACAAAATAATGATATTGCTTGTCCAACTTTTTGACTGGTGATGTTTAAATGTACACAGCTGACTGATTCAGTGTTTTTCTTTTTAATAATTCCACACATCTTCATATATTTGATGTCTTCTGTATGTATAGCAAATGTAGACAGTGGTAAACATACATAAAAAAATTAATGAGAGGGTGAGTCCAAACTTTTGACAGGTAGTGTACATGGCACTATTTCTTCTTTCCAGCCACCACCTAACTTTTTGCCACCTGCTTGTTGTTACTCTGCATGGAATATTCAGCAATATGACATTAAAATGTTAAAAAAACATTTAAAAAATATATACATTTTTACTGTGAATGGGGCTGCTTCTCTGTACATGTAGCTTGGTGTTGTCTTCTGCTTGTCCCCATGGAGATACTAAAGCCATACTGTAGAACATTCCAGGCAGAGCAATATCCTCTCCATAAAGACAAACAGGTTACATAGTGCCCCTTTAACAATGGTGCATTCAAAATAACAAAAGGCTAAGGGGACATCATTTAAATTTTTGAACTTCCAACACATTTTTGTCTAAGGTCAAAACTTGCGTGATTTCCCTCTCAGATTTCAGGGCGATTGTAGAACCCCTGAGCCGTCTTACAGAGTGACTCAAGGACGGTGTTTGAAGCAGTGGATTTGGAGAAAGCCCCTTATGCTGAGCTCTGTTGTGTGACCCATGTTTTTAAACTGAACCCAATGGCACCTTTAGCTATGTTTTAACCTATTCAAAAATATTGTGATTGCGATTACATTTGGGATATGTGTTTAAAAAGTAGGATTCAGTTCAGAGTGCGCATTGTAAACAAATCCAGGAGCATTAACATTGGAGAGAAGACTGAAGTATGAACTGATAAACTATTACATGATGGTAATGCATTTCAGAGCATGTTTGTAGAGGTCTGAACTGCAGGTACAACTCAGTCTCTTTGCAGAGGACTTTCTATTATCAAAAAAATGTTTGCCTTTGTGATTTGATAACTGTGCCATCTCAAATTGTGACCGGATTGCAAGTATTTTGTGTAACCCTAATTCCAACTGTGAACCCAGTTTTTTTACATTATATTAGGAATGATGTTTTTAGCTATAAAAATTATCAGCAGTCCCCAAAAATTACAATTTATGATTCATGCAAATGTGTTTTTGTCAGTGTCAATGAAAAGTCTGAATAGTTTTTAGCCGCACCGTGCTGCATGTCAACTCCTCATTAAGGAATAATTTAAAAGATTGCAATTTTGTCTTAAAACGTGTCATTTTTCAGAAGACAAAAACACAGAAGACAATATTTATACTGATTTGGATCACAAACAGGAAAAACACTTATGGACTTTCAAGAATGGTTGATAGATTGAAGTACCTTGTCAATAACAATGGGAAGCAATGAAGTGTTAGACCTAGTGTTTAATTAATAAAACAAAACACTAGACCAGTCAAAAGCAAATACTGATGTAATTGTATACAACATAATTGTTATTGCATTTGGATTTGTTACTTATAATTTTCACTGATAATGAAAAGATTCATATTGGTCAATTTCCAGAGAAAATTGTAATATGAACTGCTTGGTTAATGTAAGAATCCCATAGAATTCCCTATTCCCAGTATAGCATCTATTTGTAATGGTCTAAACTTGAGGGTGAGCAGGTTTTAATGCATAATAAGAAAGTGTATTTTGTAAATTGCAGAGGGCATTATATTACCCAAAGAAGCTTTGCCTAGAATACTCTGACTCAACAACTTGACTCTGGACTTGACTATCTCTATGGAGACAAGAAGGTCATGCACCCAGATCATGTTACAGGTGAGATCTGTGGAGCAGAGTCCTGGGTTTAACGTTCTGGAATTTTACGGGTGGGTAGTCAGTCCTGGGTTAGTCCTGGTTTAGTCCTGGTTCAGTCCGTGGCGTGTGCGGCGCAAAAGTCTGTAGTTCGTATTCGTCATGATGAAAAAGTGAAGAGAAAGCGTAAGAGTTTAATTTCATTTCGTGATTGTAATTCTTGAACTTTTCAGTTTGTATTCTGATGGCTGCTTCAGTTAGAAAGCTTGTAATTTGTATGTGATTTATCATGGGCACAGGCAGGTAACGGGTGGAATGCTAATGGGTCCGGTCGGATGTGGGTTTAACTTTGATAAAATCACGGGCTAATGGGCGGGTGCTGTGCAGAACTGCGTGGTTGCGGGCAGGTGCGGGTCTTCAAAAATGGACCCGTGCAGGACTCTGCTGTGGAGATTCTAGTGTGCTAAACCAGAAATTAGAGGACAAAAAAGTGGGTAAAATGGATTTTAGGCAGACTCCCAAACCAAAGAGCTGTCCAAGTACCACCTGAAGGAGCTTGCATACCACAGTCTGAGAAACACTGGCTATAAAACACGTGAATGCTAACTAACTACCAGCTGTAACATGTTTCTATTGTATTTCCCGGTGGATACAGAGGCGTGATCAGGTCAGGTCTTCGTAGGAGTGGGGTCCCTACAGTGACCCCACTGTTCAATCTGTCAGCAGATCTGTCCTCCCTCTGCCTCTCCACACCACAATCCCTCCATCTTTAAACCAGTGCTGGAACAAAAGGAGGCTGTGAACGGGCCAAGAGTTTAGGCTGAGGTGAAAGACACGCTGCCAGAGGGTTTTAAAGGGGCAGAATTAACAGACTGTAGAGCCAAAGCAGTGAATGAACAACAACACATAACAATAAAAGAGGGAGAAGAAGAATGGGTCAAATTAGGTCTGCTGGAGTCTGTGGGCTGGTGTGTGGGGTAGTGGGCATATCAAGAATGATTAAAGATGTCTGTTATGTAACAAAGTCAAGTAATGTGTGACTGTTTTTCAAGTTACGTCATGGTAAAATAATGTAATCCATTTTATAAGTTGAAGTTGTTATTAAAAGCACTGATTAGATAGTATGCATACTTTTCTACTATAATCTATTATAATCGTTGTCAACTTAGAAAAACAACTTTCATGTCTGATTTACAAAGATTTACAATAATAAAAAAAACAAGTTTAGAAACAATCATGCTTAATGAAATGAAACTGATATTTTAGGAATTGATTTTCCATAAAAGTTGGAACTGCTCTTCATATTTAAATCATAAGAAGGATCTTTAAAGTAGAACTGGAATCTGACCTTTTTGAAATATTGATCTAATTTTTTTAAGAAATAGGTATAGTTCTGACCAGAGGTGGGGACTTGCAAGTTGTGACTTGGACTCGAGTCAGACTTGAGTCACTATTTTTAGGACTTGAGACTTGACTTAATAAAATGAACTAAGACTTGGGACTTGAACTTGTAGACTTAGAACTTGAGGCCTGTGACTTGAGAAGACTTGAGAAGCACTAAAATCTGAACTTGTTCTATTCTGACTCTAATGATTCACTCTAAGATCTTGTATTGTGAGATTTTAAAAGGAAAAATTTGCATTTCTACAACTCTTGAAACACTTGAAATGACTTGAAGCTCAAAGCAGACGACTTGGACTTCACTTGGATTTATAAGTGACTCAAAACTCGACTTGGACTTGCCTGGCTGTATTTGACTTGGGACTTGACTCGGACTTGAGGTCAAAAACTTGAGACTTACTTGAGACCTGCAAAGTGATGTCTTGGTCCCATCTCTGGTTTTGATAAATCACAAACAAGCTCTAAGATCTAATTTTAAATATATTTTAATTGGAATTAAAACAGTCCATATTACGCTATTTTCAAATCTATTATAATGTTGTTTCCTCATCAAAAACATACCTGGAGTTGTGTTTTGTTTCATTCACACAGGTTTAGTTCTTCTCCCAAACAGAAAATACTCTGTTCCACCTTATGATGTCATTTGGTAATACAGGAAGTGCTTCTCTGTGTTTTTAAACTCCATACACCTTCACTAGAATCATATGGATAATTTCAGTCCTGGAATTTCCAATCTTTCCTGAAATAAAGGTGAAAAATAGCTGTTAACTTGAAAACTACTGCTTCATGACATCACAAGGTAGAACAGAGCATTTTGAGCTTTGGAGATGTAGACAGACTAATAACAAAGGGTTACTCAAACATGTGTGAATGAAACAAAACACACAAAATGGCTTAAAACTCAGAAGAATCCATGATTTTTTTTTAGATTCCCATGTGAAAACTTTGCTTCCAGGCCACTGAACAGCATATTGAATCAGTGAGTGAATATACTTACTTCCATAGAGTAGACTTACAATTAAGATTCACCAGAAGAATTATTCACCTATATTTTAAAGGTCTGAAGACTGTTTCCCCTGTACAGAAGATCAAATACCATGTTACTGCTTGGAATTCCAAATACTTAAAAGAGATCACAGGAATTATGTGCTGATTGTTGGTCCTTCCTACACATTGTTTCCATAGTTCCCATGTATACGATTGTGTTTGTTGGGGCATGCTCCATCTGGTGTGTCAGAGATCAGAGCTTCAGCTGCGGTAACACTTTTGTTTTGTTCCAGCGCGATGTATGTCCTGCATCCAGGAAATGTGAGTCTGGACCGCACCTGGGTCAACAGCCCACGGGCCAGTGTCCAATGTGAAGCATGTACGCCCCAGTGGCACCAAACGCAGGCTTTCTCTGTATGATAATCGATGGCCATCTTGTTTTTGTGTTTTTCAGGATACTCCTCACAGTGGTGGCGGTTCTCTCTTCGTACTCCATTCATCTGCTGCTAAAGTGTTCTGGGATTGTAGGTATGTAGTTACAACCGTTAACCTGGGAGAAGTTTGGGAAACACGTGTCCGAGTGATTGTGAAAAGGCAGAACAAATACTTCAGACAGTTGCTTTAAGCTGATTATGTTAAAAGCACAGCAGGCAGTGAAATCAAAGTCTGTTTAAATGGACTTGAGAGGAAACATCAGACAGACATCCACCCACAAATGTCATTAGTTCCTGTCTGGAGTAATTTGTTTCATAACAAAATACCCAGTTTTCTGCTAAAATATGCTGAAGCACTAAATTCTGCATCACCATGTTTGATTTGGTTAGTTTGGACGCTTCAACTTTGGCTTCAACCCAAACCAGTACTGTGCTGTAATCATAGTCGGTATAAAAAAGTGGTCTAAAGGAGTGCGACATCACCCTATCAGATGATGCTAGCAGTTATAGGAGCGAATTTGGAGCGGAGTTCCATATTAAGAATTTTTTAAGGACAAAATGGCAAAATCAAAACCAGGATCATGTAGGGCAGCTTCATATGAACATTTTGAGTCCTAACCGAGAGGGGGTGACCGTTTTTCAATGTAAAGTATACTTCAGCCAAAGTTGCTGGAGCCGAAAGCGCCCCCATGCTCACTTCCTATTTGGAAAGGGCTGTCTAGCAGGTTAGCTGTGTCCCTTTATATAAACAGTCTAGCTGTGATTGGTCTGGTCATCCAGTGGCTTTAGCCCAAACATATGCACAGAAATGGTTCAAGATAAATTCTCATGTGTTTGTGAACTCAGTAATGCATTCATCTTCCTGGTCAAGATATTAAAGTGTTAACTGTATTCCTTGCTTAAAGCGACAGAATTTTGGATATAGGACCTCATTTCCTAGTGAGTCAGAGTTTTGGAGATGTGTTGAGACACTTTTTAAAATTTTCCATCCAGTCCTTGTATTTGCAGAGGTCGCTGGTGCTAGGCTAGCGCATGTCAATGGCCATAGTTAGCCAGCCACTAAAAACAGTCTTACTCACTCCACAAAACACCCAAAGCAAATCTATTATAACACCAGACTGTCGATGTAAATGTCTGTGTCGATAGAATAATTTTAGAAGTAAAACCAACCTTGCATTTGAAGGATTTATGTCTGAGCAGCAGCAGCGTGTTGTACTTCCTGATAGAAAGCTTGGCAGCGGCGGACTGATATCACCTAGCACCTATCTTACCGGCAAAGTAAAATTCTGCTGCTCCGAGAAAATAGTCCCTCAGCATGCAACAATTCATGTGATGCAAGGTTAGTTTTATTTCAAACGTTATTCTCTCATCACAGACATTCACATCGACACTCTGTATATAATAGATTTGCTTCGGGTGTTTTTGTGGAGTTTTTAGTGGCATGCTAACTATGGCCATTGACATGCACTAGCTTAGCACAAGCGATCTCTGCAAATACAAGGACTGGATGGAATATCTTAAAAAGTGTCTCCACATATAAAAGAATGAGAACTTTGCACATCAGTTACTTGAGATGTGGGTGCATTGGAGGAAAGGGAGCAGCCCAAGAACATTTTTTCTGCGGGATTTTTCTCCATGTTCGTAAAATGTGTTTCCACGCATCTCCTACACCCTGGCAAACTAGGAATTGAGGTCCTATGTCCAAAATTCCAGACTGTCCCTTTAATATCTATGTTATATATTATAAAATATGCTATATGTTATAAAATCAAATAAAGGCATTACATCTACCAGCCCATGAGGAAATTAGTTTTATAGTTTGCTGTACTTTTGAAAGTATCACAGATTTCACTACAAATGAAAAACATTTCTAGTACTATTGCAGGTTATACATGTTTGAATTAATTACAACCAGCCTGTCTGTCCCTCAGGTATCCGGGCCTACGAGCAGCTGGGCTTCAGAGCGTTTGGGACTCCAGGCAAGATGGCGGCAGGTATCGCCATCACACTGCAGAACATCGGAGGTGAGCTCGGGCCATCTGTCATGCATCATGCACACACGCTCGCACGCACGCACACACACTTTGTACCATGTGGTGTTTGTCATAAGCACATGATTTCCTGCCTGGGATTAACATGTGCCCTCTATGAATGAACGACCAGAATGTAAAAGTGGTAGATATGGGATTTGTATATAAAGAAAACATTTGATAAACATTACCAATTTGTGGCCTATATAAACTGTTTTGATTTTAAGTCGTTACTTAATGAGGGGGTATTACGCACAATTTATTTTTTGAGCTTTCTACCATGTTATAAAGTTTTTCCTTCATCAAAAACATGCCTGAAGAGGTTTTATATGTCATCCTTGTATGTAAAAGGGACTTTGCACAGGGGACTACTTTCTACTTTATTGTACGGATAGATTTTCTTTAACTTTCTTTCTAAGTTTAACTAATGTGAGAAAGAACTAGATTAGACAACTAGGCCAGAGCATCTCCAAAACTGGAGCTCTAGTGGGGTGATAATACTGATTCTTAAAAACAATATCTCTCATATAGGTCAGTAATTGTTTATTAATGTATATTTGTTCACATCTGTTGCTTAACCTTTGCTGTTTTTCTTCTATCTTCCTGCAGCCATGTCCAGTTACCTGTATATAGTGAAGTATGAGTTTCCTCTGGTGATCCAGGCTTTCCTGAAGGTGGACAAGCCCGCAGGGTAAGTGCAGTGGACTGTCAGATCTTATGTCACATCTACACATGTTAGGGTTGTAAGATGAATCAAACTCAAATCAAAATCTCAATTTGAATGGACATAATTAGTACATTGTAAAGACTGCATAAAAAAGGCTAACCTGGTAGTTTAGGTCTGCGCAGACATGTTGACTGACAGTTCGTATTTCACTCTTTTTGTCAATTCTTCTGATATGTTTAAATGGCCATATTCTATTTTCTGATATATTTATAATGTTGTTTCCTCATCAGAAACATTTACTCAACACAAAAATTTACTCTTGTGATCTTTACGCCATGATAAAATGCTGTTACCTCCTCAAAAACATACCTGGAGTTGTGTTTTGTTCCTTTCATTCATGTGCAGCACACAAAAATATTTAGGCTGAGTTCTTCTCTTAAACAGAAAACACTCTGTTCTACCTTGTGATGTCATGTGGTGATACAGGAAGTGCTCCATTGTGTTTTAGACTTCATACACCTTCACTAGAATCATTTGGATAATTTCAGTCCTAGAATTTTCCATTCTCTACACTCAACAGAATGTACAAGGTAATATTATTAATTTATAAACTACCACATTACAAGATGGAACAGAGCATTTTGAGCTTTGGCAATGTAGACAGACTCATAATGAGGGATTACCCAGATATTTGCGAATGAAACAAAACACAACTCCAGGTATGTTTTTGAGGAGGTAACAGCATTCTACCATGCCTTAAAGATCACAAGAGTATTTTTTTTTTTTTTATTGTGCCCTGTAAAATGTGAACTTGAAACAGAAACCTATTTTTAAAACATAAATCACAAATCTAGCCACCATGCTTGCCACAAAAATTGCCATTAAATGTTTTTCCCAAATCGTTCAACACACTCTGACCTACATAAGGAAACAGCTTTACTCAAAAACCATCTCATTTCATTCATCCTCCCAGAATGTAATTTATTATACTACACTCATGTGATCATTTATGGAAACTGAAGTGTTGGTTTCTGTGTGATTAGATGTTTTGTGACTGTGACATTATAACAGTAATAATATATATGCTAACATGGTTATTTCATTGCATTATGATCATTGCTTCATTACCTGTAGCTCATTTGTGTGATTGTGTTATGGCCATTTACCTTACCAGTTTGTCAAAGCCTGATTTCGTCAGATCTCAGAAGCGAAGCGAGACTGAGCCTGGGTAGTACTTGGGTGGGAGTCCACTGAGAATATCAGGGGCCACAGTGGGGGCGCCAGCGTCAAAAACTGTTGTTATGTCCTTAGAAGATGAGAAGAACTTAAACTACTGACCCTGGGAAGATTTGGTGAATTTCAGACCAAATAAGGCCAAATAGAGCTCATTTTTACTCTAAAAACTACAAGGGGTGTATTTGAATAGTTACTTTATCAGGTCATTAGTTACTTCAATTCATTACTTCAACCGGTAAGACAGTTACTAACGCAATTAACGGTATTTTTTTTTAAAGTGCTATAACTATAACTATACTACTATAACTGTTACTTTTTTGAAGGATCTTGCCCAATACTGACTACCACTACTTTTGTACTACTATTTGTACAACTACTAGTACAACTACTACACCTACTATTTTTAAAACTAGTACTTCTCTAACTCTAACTATTGTTATTATTGTTATTGAAATATTATTCCATTTCCTTCGGGATCAATAAATGTATCTATCTATCTATCAATCTAATAACTACAACTACTATTACTTCTACTAACCAATTCTACTACTACTACAACTACTACAACAACTACTTCTACTGCTACCACTATTACTGCTGTAGTTTAGTTCTATTACAATTATATTATATTTTCGCCAATTTTCACATGATTCCCAAATCCAAACACATAATTCCCGTCATCCTGAACATTGAGATCTTGGTGACGTGGGCTGTGCCAGTCGGCCCTGTGCAGCTGTCCCTCACACAGCTGTCATAGTGACCCTGAGGAGAGAGAGAAACACATCAAAACACAGGCTCGCTCGACCGCTGTTAGCATAAACGACGGGACAGCATCAGGCTAAGGCAGGTGCATCCACACACACATATACTGGACTTCACATGTTCACCTTTAGCCCACTTGAACCACTCACACAGCACAGAGGGCCAAAGGCTAAGCTGGGTTACTCATTCTCTGGACTAGATCTCCACTTATCAACTAAATTAATTTGTTCTTTTCTCAATTTCTTAGTTCAGTTTTATGCTGGTTTCATTTGTTAGTTGGTCTGTTAATGCTTTATCTGATAACAACAACAAAAAAAGATCAGATTTTGATGTTTTTTGCAATAATACAACAATATTAAAGTATTTTCTTCTTCTGATATCAGTAGAAAGAACAACAAAGATCTAGGTCACCAAAAATAAAATAACTTAACTAATCTTAATCTATGAATTAGTTATTATTACGTCACTTTTCTAAGATATAAGTTTTTGTACCACTGTATTATTTATTCTCAGTCATACTATAGGTACTAAGTGATAAGCAAATTCTGTAAGCATTGTTGTGTCGAGGCAGATTGATGAAGGTGAGGCTCCCAATCTGCGACTTTGCCCCTCTGACCACCTCCAACGCTCAGGCACACACAATATTCATACTAGGTAATGAGAGTGAGGTGTCTTGCCTAAGGACACAACAGCTGCTGGCACTGATCAGAGGTTGATCCATCCACCAATATGTAGGGTGCTCTAACCACTAAGCCACCATTAACACATCTGTACTTAGACCTGTGTTTCATGATGACAAATTTTTGAAGTGCGATATACTGCTGAAGAAAATATAGCTGCTATACAATAATACTGAAATTTAATTTATGCCACTGACACGAAAAGAAAAAGTCCCCATGATGAATATTAAACCCCCAAAATGATTGTTCCAGCTATGTACTGAACGATAAGTCGATATAGTAATTATGACAGACTCATCTGTATTCCTAGTGGTCTCTCTACAAGAACTAACCAGGCCCAGTCCTGCTTAGCTCCTGAGAAGATAAGGTATTCTCAAGGTGGCATTTGAAGAAAACTATTACCCTGGAACAAAAATCAATTACATATTTTGGAGTGTGTAAGGCCATGTTTTCTGCAGTTTGCCTCTGTGGTTAAACTCTGGCTTGACTAGTCAACTGTAAAAAATAATCATCAGTCATGTTTTTGATAATTATATTGGTTATCTGAACTTTACAGGCTCTAAAAACTAAACCAAAAGACTTTAGAAGGTCCTATATTACGGAATTTTTATTTGTTCTTTTGACTTGTGCTTTTGTCCATGTTATAATCTTTTTACCTCTTCAAAAACATATCTGGAGTTGTGTTTTGTTTCATTCGCACATGTTTGAGTAATCCTTTGTTATTAGTCTGTCTACATTTCCAAAGAACAAAATGCTCTCTTCCAACTTCCAACATGAAGCGGTAGTTTTAAAGTTAACAGCTACGTTTTGCCTTTGGTGCAGTAGAGATCGGCAGTTCCAGTACTGAAATCATCCAAATGATTCTAATGAAGGTGCATGGAGTTTAAAAACACAGTGGAGCACTTCCTGTATTACCACATGACATCACAAGATGGAACACACTGTTTTCAGTTTGAGAGACAAACTAAAAATGCAGTACTTGTGTGTTAAACATGTGTGAATGAAACAAAACACAACTCCAAGTATGTTTGTGATAAAGAAACAACTTTATAACATAGATCAGTGAATGGCGTCATATGGGCCCTTTAGGTTGTAGTCCTAGGTCTATTCCCTGCACAGTTTAGTTCAGTCCGGTGTTTGACGTCAGGCTGCAGTGACGTGTGCTCTTGGTGTCTCTGTATTCATGAGGCAGAGGCGACGCCGCTGTAGGCTCCACTCTGTGCTGATTTAAAGTGACAGCACCCTGTATGGTGTGTGTGGGCGTTTGGACTGGATTTGAAGTGAGCGTGACAGAGGGAGGGACATAAACAAAACAAGAATACCAACGCAAATGTACAAATATCATAGATCGTGATCCAGGGATGTGACGTTAATGGAAGTTTGATTGAGACTGAGCCTGTGTCGTGTCTAATTGTCAGTGATCAGTTTTACTCAGTTTTAGTGATCAGTTTAAGTCATTTTTTAAATTTTGTTTTTTGAAAAATAGATCGAGATTGGTCAATATAAGAGAAAAAAAATATGATACATTTTGTTGCCACATTGTCCAATGTCCAGCCCTAAATTAATTCATATATTGTATTGTTGTGATACAAATTTCTTGAGATAATGCAAGTCACGAGAGAACAGTATGAGAACTGATCACAACAATAGACTGCTGAATATTTATGGCTTTTTGTAGTAAGTCACATATCATATTTGAAGTACTTCTTTTGCCACTATACCTACTGTATAAGGGCATCTTGTTTAAAACCTATGAGAAAGGAAAATGCAATTCAGGGGTAGTGTATAGGTTTTAGTGGTTCTCAAACAGTGTACTGACCTACGCTAGGTCCTCTTCAGATCTAATATTTGCTTAATTTAAGATCAATATTTACCCATTTGTCCATTTACCCATTTGTTCTACTCTACTCTACTCTGGTGTTGCAATTGTAAGTGCAATTTAGAACTGTTTTAGCCCTAATTTAGACCAGAGTCCTGCACGGATCCATTTTTGGAGACCCGCACCTTTCTGTACCCGCGCAATACAGCACCGCACCCGCCAGTTAACCCGTGATTCTATCAAAGTTAAATCCGCAACCGCCCAGACCCGATAACATTCCACCCGTTACCCGCCTGTGCCCTTGATAAATCGCACACAAAATGAAAGCATTTTAACTGAAGCCTCCATCAGAAGACGAATTGAAAACTTACGACTTTAAGAATTACAATCACGAAATGAAATGAAATGGTTACACTTTCTTCATTACGAGTACGAATTCACAGACGCGACTTGACTGTCAAAAATACAACATCACTTCATAAGAATTATTTACTGAGCAGAAGAAACACTGATTGAGATACCAGACT